AAAAGCCGCTGTGAGCGGGTCGATATTGTCGAGCTTCGTCTCTTGGAGGCACACAACATGGCAAGAGGAGGAAGCGATAGTGGCGTTGACTGTCGACCGCCTATCAGGGCAATTGAGGCCCCTGACATTCCAGCTCAAAAAATTGATCGGTTGTGTCGACATGATCTAACCATGATAACCCTTGACCAAAGCCACATAACATGTGCCAGGATAGTGGAGTTCGAATCAGCAGCATACAGACTACAGAAGGATACAACATCCAACTCCAACGGGTGAACAGCCACCCCTACATACTTGAAACAAGGCGTCACCACAATACGCCCAAACAGCACACTTCCAGGATAAATCTGGACCTCTAAGCACGTACGCATATTAACTAACATTGGAAACTGAAGGCCCTAGGCGTATGGGCATATTGAGCAGCAACTCAAGTTGCTTCCTGTTGCAGCACAGGCTCCTCGTCAATCCTCTCTAGGTCCAGCGCGGCTCCACCTCCATGCGTCATGAGCGCCTCTTCCACAACAGCAGCATCAGTGTCGTCGAGCTTGAATAGGCCCCTCATGGCTGTGAGCACCTCCGGCGAAAGCTGCTCCTTGAAGCGGTCCGCGAATGCGTCCAGGGCAGCCGCAGTCACGTCCTCGCCGTCTTTGACGATGCGCAGAGAACGGCAAACCAGGATTTCAGCCGCACAAGCCACGGGTGTGGCCTTCGGACGAGCCGTCACCCGCGTCTTGTGCAGCGAGAGTGCACCGCCAACCTCAGAGATGGTGACTCCTGCCAAGGTCTTCCGACGCGCCGCTGGAGCTCGCGGAGGCGTTGCAGTTGGGGTGGGGACGGGCAGAATGGCGGCCTGCCGCTCTCCGAAAAGCGGCGCAAGGCACTCGAGGCCAACCGCACCGGTAGCGTCAGCCCGGCGGCGCCGCACAGGAGAGGGAGTACGACGCACCGGCCCGCTGGACGGCAGGGGAGGCGTTGGGGAGGCCTCGAAACCAGGGGGCCTGGAGGGGGACGGCACCGGCAGCAGGAGCATGGGGGGCTCACAAAGCTGGAGCAGCGCCGAGCTCGGCCCGCCAGCGCCATGCAGGAGCATGGCTGACCGGCCTTCGTTCCTCTTTGATCTTGGCGATGGAGGCAGGACGGAGGTAGGCGACAGCGGCGGCGACACCGGTGGATAAAGTTCCACATGCCCAAAATCCCGTGATTTGGGGTACCGGGATTCCACGCCGCAATTTTATCGTACACACCCTTAGAACTCCAGCATGAGCTCTTTGGTGATCAACCGCGCTGTAGCCGGGATTGCCACCGACGTCGTGTACATAGGCACGCATGGTCGTTCTAAGCTGCAGACATGACCCGTCGAATCGCCGTTCACCAGATCTCAGAGGTCGGCAAGAGAAGAGATTGAGGCTGAGGCTACCCCAAAAGGAGGAGGCACCACATCGTCAACCAACTATAGTATGGTCGAGACTTCTAGCCGCCCCCGCAAAAAAAAAAAAGAAAAAAAAAAGAGACTTCTAGCCGCACTGGACCGCACAGAGACCTGTGGTATGCTCCTTGTGAGCCCGAGAGGCGAGAGCCCACGTACACTAGGCAAGAAAGAAGTTGAGCGGCCCAAACCTAGAGCCAGCTCCAACAACCACTATCCGCTAGCCCGTTTGCAACCACCCTACACCCGGGGACGACAGCCTCATTATTGTGCCCGGCCAACCCTTCTCATGGCCGAGCTGGTACAGGCAAAAATAATGGACCCTCCCTCGGGTCGTCGGCCGGCCGACACAGTTTAGGCCGGATACCTCGGAGTTAGGACACTCTGATCGGTCCGCCCCCTGCACACCGCACTGCAGGTGTGGCAGTTCCAAGTTCCAACAAAAGACCGACCGATCCATCCATCCCTTTTTCTCCGTGTGCCAAAGGTGGTGCCATGGACACTAGTGGCACTGCTAGTGGTGATCGTTTGGTGCTAACTGCTGCTGTGCTGACCCTACGCATGCACGAACGAGAAAGGGCCCCCTTGCGGTTTAACGCGGCGGCTGCATAATAAAAACAGTAAAGTAAAACCACTACTACGCGTACGACTAGAAGCTTTTACTGAGGTGGAGTTGCAGTGCCAGTACCCACCAAACTGGAACCTACAGTTGCTTCACAAAGTTACGATTAATTGGCAGTGATCCGTGGGACGATCGATCGATCGATCGCTCGCCCTCCTTCTAATTGCGCTGGAACAAGATTAGGCGGGGATTAACTCCTGCAAGTTTTATTAGAAAGGTTTGATTAGCTCCTACATGCAAGTCTGGGCATTTGCCAACCACTCCATCACCGTGCATGCAGCTGTAGATGCCTCTTCGAGGTCACACCCAAGTGTAACCAGCACGCGCCTTCCGATCCATGACTTCTCTGCCGATCTGGACGCCACACAGGACCGGTCGCCGCCCTCCGTTGCCCGAAACGATCGGGGCCCGGCCCGGCCAGCTCGGCTTCGGCCCCACCGTCTCTCGCGCTGCACAATGTGAACTTGCACAAGGCGTCAGCTCAGCAGAGACCAAAATGCTAGCCTCTGATTAAGCAAAGTAGAGGGGTCTCCTACCTTAGTTAAACGCCAAAATAGTCCCTCCTGAAGCACTGTCATTACCGGCGCCACCTAATTAGAGGATAAACATTGCTCAAAGAAACATCGTCAGAGGATAAAACATAGAAGTAGCATCCAAACACCACGTAGCATGCCCTACAAAGCCGTAGGAATCGAGTTGCCGGATGCTGCCTGCTACTAGATCAGATCACTGAGGAGTACCGGCGTCGTACCACCAGCACGGCGTAACTGCCCCTGGCGCCCTTTTTAACCGTCTTTCACACAGACATGTCCTGACAGCGCCGGTCACACGCACAGCCAACAACCACCTTAACCTGCCCTGCCCTGCCCTGCCCCGCGGCTGCTGCCGCGACGCACTTTCCACTGGAAAGAAAGGACCGCGCGTGTGACCGCTGTACGTGCGATCGATCGAGCTAGCAGGGCAGGACAGAGAAGCTTCCATCCGTCGTCCTGCACGCACGTCAGATGAACTCACTGACACACGTATCTGAGTGGAGCCGAGCCGTAAAAGCGCGCTCGTGCCCACTCAATTCCCGCTGGCGCCATTAATTTCCTTTCACCTTTTTTTACGGAGCTCTGCCGGTCGACGCCATGGATGGACCCATGATTGGCTGCTTGAGCGAGCGGGTGATTGAGCGAGTGAGTCGTAGTACTGGATGGATGCTCGGCGGGTCGATGGGTTGATGGATCGGGAGGAGGATGCAGTTATTGCAGGCCAACTTCTTGCGAGTCTAGCGTGCTCCGGTACACCCCATGGCTCGCCCGCGAGCGCATGGACGGTGGCTTTGGAACTGGCGTAGTTAACCTGCAGTGCAGCGCGTGCGTCAGCGCATGGAATAGATTTGTTCAGTCCTGGATATAGGAGTAGCAGCTCGCACTTGACTGCCTGATGAGTTACCACGTCCATCATGGGCACGTCGTATCGGCATTCACGCATGCTTTATTGTTGTGGAGTAGGAGCGGTACTGTCCTCCACTCGTCTTCTCCGTTCGGAAATGTATACGAGTACTCCACTGGCTTGAGTGTCAGAAATCAGCCTTGATCATCAATTAATTTCATAGTATGGTGATATATTATGTGATACTTCTATAAAAATGATAATGCAGTTTGGCCCATGTTCAAAAAAAGATCTTATGTTTGTCGTTTGATCCATATGCACACAAGGAATTTATAAGAGTAACCCTTAGAAACAAATGACAACCAGCTGGAGTATGTAAGAGTGGCACTGAGCAGGGAGCAACAAGAGTGATATCGAAAACCAAAGGGGATTACCAATAAGAGCTGGGGGCGGGTAGGATCCATGGCTCCGGCTCGTCTCTTGCAAATGAGGTCTCCCACGCCATAAATGAGGTCGCCAAGCGTGTAGGTGGGGGAGTTAATTACCGGGGTTACGTACTGGCAGGCAGCGGGGAGGGAGTGGTTATGTTGCCACTCGGCCACAGTTCACCGACAACCCACCCCAGCAGCGTAACGGGGGGCCCCCTCTTCCCTTCCCCCTTTGCTCTCGCCGGAGAGACTTTTCTTACTCTCTCTCCTTTGATCTTTGTCTTTCCCTCTGGCTGCGCTGGGCTGAGTTTTATCACTTGCTACACGCATGCTGTTACAGCTTCTGACCCCACGGCTCCAACCTCCCTCCAATCTCTAAAATGACTTACAGTAGTAGGCAATTGCTAGCTGAATTGCCTGCCCTTTAGGCACCACTACATATGTATTCAGATACAGTAGTCACTAATGTCACAACTTCCATAGGGAGTGGTGAGTTTCAACCTGAAACTAAGCTGTACTCCTGGAAGTAACTTTGTCCTAGCAAGACGAGGGGTAGACTCGGTGCGTGTACTGCATGGTCACACGAAACCTGTTCAGAAGCTCTCCTTACAGTGGTGCACACATGACAGTACTCCAATGTCCTAGCGCAGTAGCAGTACAAGTGAACAAGGACGGGCATGCATGGAAGCAGCCCAACCGTTAACAGATACGTGCAACGCAAGGCACACACACTCACACTTGAAGTTACCGCCACTGGCCACCCCCAAATCCATTCTTCACTACTCCTACCCTCTCCCCCTCTTTCACACACACACGCCCACCCGCAATATGCAATGTAGCCCTACGTATCATGTATGTATATATGCAAGCGTACGCGTATACGCATCGGCCTATCCATCTTTCTATCTAACCACATTTAACGCTCTGCAAGTACAGGGGGTCCGAGGGGCAGTAGCTTATATTCACTGGGAGCAGCAGGGCCTTCGCTCCTCCCCACACTACACTGCTCCGCCACTCTTCCGTGGAGGAGGCCGGGCTCACACTCACTCACTCACTCGCACTGCCACACTGCCTGCTGATCATTCCCTTCCCTCTGCCCGTCCTCTTCCCTGCCAGAGAATCTCCGCTCTGCATTCTGCAGAGAAACATGGTACAGTCCAAGAAGAAGTTTCGCGGCGTCAGGCAGCGCCACTGGGGCTCCTGGGTCTCCGAGATTAGGCACCCTCTCCTGTAAGCCTCAGTGCCTCACCCCTAGCTCTCTCTCAGTAGCTGCTCTACACCTACTCTCCGGCGGTCCGGCCTACTCGTGTAGCTATCCCACCGTGTCCTGAGAGATAGATACATTTATTCTGGTTTGAATTGCTACGTACTTTAAGGTTGCTTTCGTCGATTTTCTCTTGATGTGGTTCCAAATGCATGCATGTATATGTGTGTGGTTCGCAGGAAGAGGAGGGTGTGGCTGGGCACCTTTGAGACGGCGGAGGAGGCGGCGCGGGCGTATGACGAGGCTGCCATCCTGATGAGCGGGCGCAACGCCAAGACCAACTTCCCAGTGCCAAGGAGCGCCAACGGGGAGATCATCGTCGCCCCGGCAGCGGCACGGGACGGCCGTGGTGTCGGCTCGTCGTCCTCCGGCGCGGCCGGCGCCAGCAGCCTGTCACAGATCCTCAGCGCCAAGCTCCGCAAGTGCTGTAAGACACCATCCCCGTCCCTCACCTGCCTCCGCCTAGACACCGAGAAGTCCCACATTGGCGTCTGGCAGAAGCGCGCGGGAGCCCGCGCCGACTCCAGCTGGGTCATGACCGTCGAGCTCAACAAGGAGCCGGCGGCGGTTGCGGCACCAACGCCCAGTGACAGCACGGTGTCGGCGACTCCTTCCTCGTCGACGTCCACGTCCACAACGGGCTCGCCGCCGGAGACAATGGAGGACGAGGAGAGGATCGCGCTGCAGATGATCGAGGAGCTGCTGAGCAGGAGCAGCCCGGCCTCGCCGTCACATGGGCTGCTGCACGGTGAAGAAGGCAGCCTCGTCATCTGAAGAAAAATATTGCACGGTTAAGAAAGTGTGATCAGGTCATCATCCCAGATCAAGGATCTGGTAGGGTGGTTGGCGCACAAGCAGTTAAGATCACTGCTCCACATCGTAGGTACCAGCTGAGCATCTCCCCATTACGCACTACGTAAAATCAAGCTTAGGAAACGATTAATTACTACCGTGTGTACGTACGTGTGTGAAGCCCCGTGTATTTATAAATTAATCAAAGGCTTACTTGTATGTAACTATGTATATGCCGTCACCGTCATGATAGTCACACTGTATCAACATCATCAGACTATATAATACTATATGATTACGTGTATATCAGTGATGATATCGCTTTCTAATAAATGGAATAAACACCTTGTAATGCAGTACACTTGTGCATTTAATTTCCTTTGTTAGACTATACCGATGAAGTGTTGTTTTCAGTCGGGTGAATTTAAGCGTCCCTCTTCATCAAAAGGATATCACGAATATGGTGAGATGATATTTGCACATTCTTGGTTTGACAAGACAGTTGTCTGTAAGCACTGTTCATTCTAGTCCCGTAGTCGTAACCCTAATTAAGAACAAGGTTCCAAAAATTGTGTATGGACATGTATGCGGTATGTTAGTACTTCGTATAGCCGGAAGGAGTAATCACCGAAGATACGAGAGAGCATGCACCTCGAGTTTTCCTGTACATCATCTCAACTCCATCAGTGACCTCAAAGAACGTAGTTAGCCGAAGAGCGTCAATGAGAATTTAATTGAGAAGTGAACTTACGAAATCATTTGGTAAGCCCAAACGAGACGAAGAATACGATTTACCGAAAACATCTGTCAATCAATTACTCCTGCGCATGAGACTCTCCATGCAATTCCTAGATGTTCCCGTGTGTAACCCTCTTGTAATACAAGGGATCAGTCACGAATCATCAGATGCTCTAAGAAAATTGCTGCATGGAAACATCATCCGTCAGCTAGCTAGAGGCGAACTCAAATACGTCAGTGCATTAACATTACCATGTGTTAGTGCATCGAATTTGAAAGAATATCAGATCCACATTTCTCGGTATTAAAATAGGTCCAGTTGGGAGATGATCAATAATCAGTAACCATGTTAGACTATGACTAGTACATAGACCATACACACTACTGCACCAGGCTATGTGGACCAACAGATGACCACAAGGCATCAACTAAACCAAGATGGTGCACAAAACCACATGCATACAGAATTATAAATGCTAGGTTTTCATCCATATATATGCATTGTCACCTTCAAACAATTGTGTTTTGTGCTGCGACGCCAATGCAGCACGAGCTAGCAAGCAACAGTGTTTGCAGGATAAGATAACAATCATGTATGAAATGTTAAATGGGAAAAGAAAAGGAAGCACTAAAATGGGTGATAAAGATCCATGGTCCCCATATTATTTCCCATTCTTAATTTCACAACACACATATAGTCACAATGAAGTGCAAATCAGCTCCACACGGTTGGCTCTATAGGTTGGTAAAGCACGCAGTCAATGCAGAAGGGCCCGGTCAGTTAGTTGGTCAGCCATAAAGTACAATCATGTCAGAAAAAATAAGAATAATAGTAACAGCATGAGGATATATACTAGCTGCCTGCCATTGATGCATACTCCCTCCGTCTTTGAAAGAGTGTACTTCCAACTTTGTTGGAGGGTCAATCTATCTCAAAGTTTGATCGAGTTTGTGCAAAAATATGTCAATGCTTGTGAAACCAAATAGATATATGACGAAATTTTTTTTTATCATGAATCTAATGCTACTAATTTGATGGCATAGATGTTGGTCTATTATTGTATAAATACGGTCAAACATAAAAAAATTTTAACTTTCCAACAAACTTGGAAGTACACTCTTTTAAGGACGGAGGGAGTACACTAGTATGAGGTCTAAGACAGTGGCACTACACATTTAGTAGTAGTGCAGTGGTACACAAAATGATGAAATGGTACCTGATTAAGACCTTGGTGAAATCCAATGGTGGTGGCCAGAAGCAAAAGCGATGCCAATATAGCGAGATCCCTACTGAGTTGGATGCTTAGATACAAACAAATCAGTTTGCCTTTCTCGTCATGTCCTTGTTATCAGAAAAAGGTGATCACCACTTCAGGTCTACATCCATCAAAACATAATAAATGGGCTCCGCACAGCAAAGCTGAAATATTATGACAATTAGTGCTCCTAATATGTCCTGCAGAACAAATTGTTAGATATATGATGCTCCAATGATTTAGGGTAGTGACACTGCTGCTGCTGCTATATTTTCTGAAAAAATCATACTAGTCCCGCCTTGACATCTTGTGGTGCCACAGTAGCTGGTGAAGGACCTCCCATGTTGCAAAAGCATGCATTCAATATGTCCAGTAGTGTAGGTGTACTGGTCCCCCAACATTAACTTTGCCCTTTGCTACACTCATTGGAATCAATCTGGCGATGCCATCCTAATCAACATTCAACATTTGTAAGGCATATAGCATTAAGTTACCCAGCGATGTTGACACTGTTATCCCCCAGATCCACCTAAAATGGCCCAAATTATGGTGCATGTACATGCCAACTAATTGATTAATGACATTGTCAAGTGGATGGTAAAGATAGCAGGAGTATTACCCAGGCAATGCCAATGAGTAGAAAAATGGAAAGCTGCTGTGTTTCAACCTTTGGATAAAGAGGAGGCTGCAAACGTAAACTGTTAGACAAAGGACGCCATGCATTCCTTAGCTTGTAAAAGTGAAGGATCAATTTTAAGTGTACATTTCCACTATATTCTACTGCTTACCAGCAAGGTGCCTGTGCTACGCCACGAACCACATGAAACAAGGTGGAGTATGGTACTCCCTCCGTCCCAAAATAATTGTCTTAAGGTTAGTACAACTTTATATTAAGATTAGTACAAAGTTGAGACACTTATTTTGGGACGGAGGGAGTATTACCCAAGAACAAGAACTTGTTTGAAAGTTGGTCCGAATGTAATTAGTGGTGGGAGACGGCACGAGGGGAGAATTCAGGAGGACCGTGAAGGTTTGCATGATCCTGCCCTGTCAGAGTTTGAAGGAGGAAGATTGGGAGAAGAGTGAACTGACGACCATAAGTAGGACAGATATGATAAGTATTTTTAAGGCAGTTCACACATACAAAGAAAAAAGTATTTAAAATAGAAGCTCACTGAAATTATTTCTCCCATAAACCACTCAAGGGATAAGTTCACACTAAAGGCCTGTTCGGAGCTGGCGGAGCTGAAGGTAAAAAGTATGGAGCGGGGGAACAGGTGCTCTGCAGATCCTTGAATTTCAGGGAGCAGTGGATTGCCAAATAGCCCCTAAGTTGTAACAAAAGACTATATCAAAGACTAATCATGTGCCAATTAATATAGAAGTGATTAGGGTTGAGAGTCTAATTTTTGCCAACAACCACTGGATTGTGATTTATAAACTGAATTAAGGATTAACAAATAGTTCAAACGGAAAGCATCTCACCTAACTTGTAGTATTATTGGTATAGAAACTTGTAGGGTTAGGGTCATAAGACTTGGTAATTGGTATATCAGCAACCGCACACTTGCAATGCATGGTCTCCACTGTAATGTATACCTTTTTGCGAAGACTATGCAATATATACTCAGATATGAGACAACATCATTTGAAAAATAAGTTTGCCTAAACTTCTTTCTCCGAAAAAACACCCGAAAGAAAAAAATGGAGTATTAACCATGCATCAAATAGTGAACCATAAATTTGCAATTAAGAAGTAAAGAAATTAGGGCTGATTAGGGCCGAGAGTCTAGATTTTGTCATTGTATTGTGACCTGTAAAAATTGAATCAAAGATTACCAGATGGTTCAAATCAAAAGTATACCACCATACTTCTATAACTATTCCGAGTTCCAAATACATTGGACTGCTGAAATATCCAGCAAGTAAATTGCTATACTATGCAAAGCTATAGTGTAAAAGAGACCCAACATGAGAGAACCGCCAATTTACCATGTTTAGGAAGATGCCAACGAAACATGGTATGTGCGGACACAGCTAATTCATAATGCACACAGGAAATGAACCTGCTCAGTAAATATTGGAATGCTTTGGCCTGCAGTTAGTGTGTACGCACACTCTGGGTTTATCGGTATCGATACTTCTTTTATCAAAGATAAATCACGTCTGGCACACTTCTTCATGATAAGATGTGAAAAGCTCTTGCACATTCTCTAAAACATCACTCTAAAAGAATCAGGTCTGACCAGCATTTCTGCAAGCAGCTAGCTGTAGATCAGCCAACCACCCATTGCAAAGCGTTGGTAAGTATAACTGCTTAGTCTATGATCAGACCCCTACCCCTCTTAGGAGTGCTTAGTACTGCTGGTGGTCCTAGCTAGTTGTTAGATCTTGACACTATCAAAGGCTCATAGCCATTCAGAATGGTTATAATATGCTTGATGAATCATTATCTTGGGTTTATTTCAACAATTCTTTCCATGGAACAAAATAAATAATGCATACCCTTTATTTCAGCTTACACATACATTACACTAAGACTTTCAGAAAAGCATTTTAGTATATGTCACAGTGTAACCGTGGTATGCATGCAGAAAAGACCCCCAATTTCGACCATTGTATAATACTAGAGAAAAATTTCCAAGACTACAGGCGGCGGTCAAAACATCGAAAAACTGAAGATTTACTCATTAATCTTGCAGAAGTACAGAGTTTCTTTTTTCGAGTTTGAAGAAGTACAGAATTAAGGGGTAAACTTCTCAAGGAAGTAGTAAATGTTTTCTAGGATGTTTTGAGAATTCAGTGTTGATAGCGATGGCCCGACATGGTAATAAAAATGCAGACGAACATCTAGCATCGCTGTTGACCAAGCTACAGAATAGGTATGGAAGGCTACTCTATGCTAAATTGCTGCTTAACCCTTTAGTTCTTTATAGATTTGAAAATAAACCTGTAATTTTGTAAAAACGTTATTTCACTAAAATAAAC